GGAATCTTTTTTTCCCTGTCTTGATTTGAGTCCTTATACTGGGATCTGATAGACTTGCACTTTTGGCACTGTGTTTTTGAACATAGCAGAAAGGGATCCAGGATTTTCAAAAGGAGTACAGGAGTGGCTTCACTCCCTGCTCCCAGCCTCCTTCCCCACCCCACCCCACCCCCCTTTCAATAAAACCCCACCAGGGGAGCGGCAGCCAGGAAAATTTTTAAGTCCTGAAGAAAGTAAGAATTCCCTCCTCTTCTCCTTTGTGCTCAGAAGCATGTCAGTTCCCCACCCTGCCTTCTGCTCCTGGTGTCCCTGTTGTCCTGGGGGTGAGGAGAGCCAACTGGGTTGTGTAGGGGGCTGGGCTCAGCCTGGAACAGCAGCAGCAGGCAAGTGGATTCTCCCTCCCTGCCTGCTTCCTCTGGGTGGTGTTCCCTGCCAGCCTGGGAGCAGGTGTGGGGAGGGGGAGACTGTTTACTTGCCACTGCTGTCATGGGCTGAACCCAAGCCCTACAAATCCCAGCTGGAGTAGGGCAGGAGCTCCTCTCCCCCCAGGACAGCAAGGACAGCAGCAGGTGAGGGATGAGGATTGGAAGGAAAGGGGATGGAGAGTGGAGGGGATGTGGTTCTGAGCATGGAGGGGAAGAGATGGGGGATTCTTCTCTTATTTGGGACTTAAGCTTGGGTGCTGCTCCTGATGTGTGCTTAGAAGAGGGAGTGTGGTTGTGCCATTGCACCTCTTCTGGATCCCCCTCAGTGCATAACACAAAGTTCATTAACTACAGATTGCTGAAGCAGATTTTCTTTTTCTGCATGATAGGATTTGTATTTGTGTCTGTAAGTACATTTCTTCCTGTAAGGACAGAGTTGTGGAAAAATTTTATTTTTCCAAAGAAGATGATCCAGATCTGGGCCATGACAGCCAACAGTTGGATCATCAGGAGGCATGAATGTTGTGTCTTCTTGCACTGCAAGCACGCAGTTAACTAGATTCAGCTTCTGACAAGCTGCCAGTCCCAAAATTAGTGTCACCTCCCTAAATACCACAACAAATGGGCATTTGTATATTTTATTTTTATATCAGATGCTAGCGATGCATCTCCTTTCACTGGTATATTTGTTCCTGAATAGCCAGTTATTTTAATCTTTTCTGGATTCACTTTTGGACTTGCTTTCTGTATCCATTCTCTGGTGAAATCTTAACCTGATCTCCCGTGTCCAATTTAAATTAAACCAGCGTTACTTCCACTGGCCACTGCCTCTCATTGATTTTGCTTAATTCATCATGTCTATATAAAATTCTTCCGGCGTATTCTCCATTGCGTACTTGAGGCTGTGTGTTTGGGGATTGCATTAGGCAAAGTGGTTCCTCTTGTTACAGTTAAAACAGCTTTCTAAATTCAGCACAACGTTTGCAGGAACGTTGCCTTCTATGCTTAGTATATGTCTGCTTATCTGTTCTCTCTCCCTTAGCATAATCCTTGCCAATGAAAAATCCTACCCTGTGAGGTAGCTTCTTACTAGTGGGAAATTCCACCTGTGAGGTGGCATTTTCTGGCTATGTTTTTTTGAGGCCTACTGCCTGAACGACCCTTTTTGGTGCATGCAGCTCTGCAGCCTGGGCCTTCACAGTTTCTGCTGCCTTGCACATTTGGATAGTCTTTTCTCGTGACAAAGATCCCTAATACAATAGCCTTTTTATAATGCAGTGTTTGTGATGCTACAAATAATCCTGTCTCTAATAAGAGATTCTGTCAAGCACAGTTGTTACTCAGGCACTTTAGATCAGTAACATGCTGGTCTATCCTTTCTCCTGCGGTTTATTTTCACATTAAACATCTGTGTCTTTCCAGCATCTCATTCTTTTTGCCATGGAGTATTCCTCACATTTGGACAAGATTTTACTTAATTTCATATCTTTTTTGAAGGCAAAAGTGTTACCAAGTCTTCCTTCTCCACAGTGTGCAAGATAGATGAATTCACTGTGTCTTTTTTTCTCTTCAGGCTCTGCTAGGTAGTACCAAATGTGCTCCAGTTCTCCGCTAATATTGCCCAATATCAGAAGAGCAGGTGGATGTTGCAAAACTTCCATGACTAGCTGTCCTTTTACTTAATGTGTGGGTAGCTCACTTATGGTGGCCCTTGTCCTTTCACATGGCTATGTTGCTTCACTTATTTTCAGTTTTCAACTTTTTTTCAGTTTGAATCTCAACTCTTTGAAGTTCTTTCTCATTTGCCACTTCTAACACCATGTAGTGACCACCAGCTTCAATAAATGCAGACATACATGAATGAGAAAAGCTAAAAAGCAAGTTTTATTAAGCAAGTTCTACAGATTCCCTGTCTGGCTCTAACAACTGGCTCACTAGCTGTTACCTGAAAGTGCAGACAGAAATGACATTTTTCAAGTGATCTGGTCCTTGAAAGTGCTCCACAGCTGTGACTTTAACACACATGCATGGCTGCAGAGCACTTTTTAAATGGTTGATTGCACAAAAAATTAACCTTGGTTAAATCACATATTACATTAAGCAGCTCAAAAACAGAGCGCCCGAGGAAATTTGTGTTCCCTCCAGGGTTAATTTTTCATGGTGGGGGCAGGGCTGAGCTGGTGCTCAGTCCTGCACCTGGGCTATCAGGGGGGAGGACAGGGAGCTGCTGCCTGTTGAATGGCGGTGGGGGGGAACAGGGCAACCCTGCCTCATGGCTCGGGCCAGGCCCCCGAGGGAAGGGGGCTCCATCTCCTCCCTCAGCTCTAGCCATTCAGCAGCCAGCACAGAGCAGCCAGCTGCCAAATGGCCAAAGCCATAGGGGAGTGCGGAGCAATAGAGCCCCCTTGCTTTGTGGGCCTGACTTGGCTCCCCCCAGTACCCCAGCTGGGATAGCTGTGGGGTCCAAGAAGCAAGGGGGCCCCGTTCCCTGCCATTCAGCATCTGGAAGCTCCCTTGTTGACAGCCTGGGGGGGCCCAAAGCTGGGGAGAGGGGTGGTTTGACAGCCTCCTGGAAGGGTGTTTGAGCCTGGGCCAGTGCCAGGCTGGCTCCAGCCCCCCTCTGCTGACCCAACAGGCAAATGTCTGTTGGGTCGGGGGGTGCTTTGACTCATGGTGCTTTATATAAAGTGCCACAAGTTAGATTGGGGCCTGTTTAACGTCTCTCTGCACCCTGAGGGACCATCTCCCATTTTCCAGCTCCCTCAGTCTCCTGTTTTGGAGCCGGTCTAAATTATAACTTCTGTCACTACACACCCCTCTTGGGGGTCTGTTCAATTTACAAGATATACCAGTCTCAGGCCCAGTAACCCTTCTGTGTTCTGGTCTTTTCATACAACTGAGGTAGTTTCAGAGTTACTCATCCCTAGCGTTCTTTGTTAATTAATTCATACCGGTGGTTCTCAACCTTTTTAGATTCAGGGTACTTCTCAGCAAAAGCCATCTCTTTTCTTTTGCTTGATTTCGGACTACAGAAAAAATACTCCACAGCACTGTTTCTCAAACCGTGGGTCGCAAGAATACACAAAGGGGTCACAAACAAACTTAAAAAATGGATCAACAAACTTTAAAAAATGGATTCTCCTTTAAAAAGGAGAAAAATGTGGGAAACTGGCTTTTCCCCTGCAGGCTGGCGGAGTTCCAGGCTTCGTGGCCCTCCCCCCCCCCACCCCGTGTCCCCCACACTGGGGGCCTGGATGCAGCGTGTCAGCAATGAGGGGCACTGGGTCAGGATGTTTACAAATGGGGCCTGGTACAAAAAGGTTGAGAAACACTGCTCTAGAGGATATCCAAGTGCAATCAGCCTGGAGTCGAAAAACAAGCTGTTACACAAGCAAAAGGCTGCAACTGGTCTCTTGTGCAGGCTCTTCTCATCTGGACTGCCTTTCTCCAGCAGTGCCAGGTCTTAAATATGAAATTATCATATTGGAAGCTCTAAATTACTATTTTTGCTGAAAAACTATTGTACACTGAAAAAAATATGCAAACAAATCTGCAAATAAGTCCTATTTACTTTCTATTGCTCACTGCATCTCCAGTGAGTGAGTGAGAACTGGGTCATCCAAGTTGAAGCATTTCTGTATTTCAAGACAAGCAGTCATAAAAAAGTACAGACAGCAAGCCCTCCCTAGCTAGGTTGCTTCTTGGGGCCGAATGGCTGGGGGAAGCAGAACTTAGGGGCATCCGAACCTCAAGCCTCTGGGCTTGGGCCTGCAAGTAGGATGCCCACTAAAGGTTTTGGGAACATCTGAAGCCCCAGGATGTTTGCTGGTAGTAGGGCCACTTACAATTCTGGACTGACTCTCAGATTTGGAATTCATTTTGGCTAATTTGGCTTGGAATATGGGAAATTCAAATAAATAATGAAAAACTCCCTGAGCGCCTTGGGTTGTGCATAGGCCACATCAATTACCTGCTCCAAAAATTATTGGGTAGCCAGGTTGTAGCTGTAAGGGTCTAGATGCAACAAGGAACCAGGCCTCATGGTAGAGGTGGTATGTTTTATTATACCAACTAGATTTTTGCAAATTTTTTTTGCAATTTCTTTCTTTTTATTTGTTTATTTATTTTTTACAAAAATCAAGCCGGTCTAATAAAGGATTATCACCTCTTGCCACGAGTCCTGCCTCAAAAAACCAAACCGATCGTCCACTTGGAGCACGTTTACTATTATTAATCGTGCGTTGTACCAGGGCTGAAACGACCATACAGAGGGGATAATTACCGCCCACCTGGCAACGCTGCCTTTGTGCTCCCAGTTGCTGAGGTCCTCTCTAGCCAGTTCAGCAGGGCTGCCTGGCCGCAGATTGGCTGGCAGTGAGCTCATGTATTTATGTAGCTTTTTTTCCCCCACCTTTCGCACAGCAGCAGCAGCGCACCGAGTAGCCTTCTTCAGTGCAGTTAGCTGCTGCCTTGGTCGGAGCGTTTTTGTGTCTTTCTGCCACCCCGGCTGCGCCGTGTTGGCGCTGCAGAAATGTGTGGGCTCCTCATTGCGTGTATTACGCTCTTAGGTAGGGTTTATTGACGTCAGGAGGAGGCAATGGCTGAGCCCGCGGCTGCCGAGCTTGGTGCTGCAGTCCCCTCCAGCAGCAGCAGATGATCCGGGAGCAGGGGCTCGCGCTGCTGCTGTCACATGCGGTTACACTCATTGACTTGCAGGGGCCGGAGCATTGAAGGCCCCCGGGAGGCACTGCGCCCCGCGGCACGACTGCCTGAGGTGACATCCGTGAAGCTGCCTGTGGAAATGGAGGAATAAAAAGCCAGAGGAGTTGGGGCTCTGTGATGCCGGCAGCACTCGCAGGACTCTTTCCCCCCTTCCTCTTCTCTTGCTCTCGGATTTGACATCATGTATGTGGCTGATGGCTGGGTTTTTAGGAACGGCTGAAAGAAGAGGCTAGAGAAGCGTTTAGTAGCCTTGTTCTGATTTGAAAGGATCTTTTTTTTTTTTTTTTTT